AAAGTATACTACTAATAAAAGATATAAAGCGTACTAGTAATTTAAAGGTAACTATTACGTTAAAGATACCTTACTAACTATATATAACACCTTCCTTACTAGCTATAAAGGCACCTATCTATAAGAAAAAGAAGATAAAAATAGTAATAATAATAAGGATCTTTAGTAGTATCTCTAAGGGGCCTACTTTATTATTAGTAATAATAAAGAATAAGATAATAGTGTATTTTACACCTTAACTACGTTCTTTAGTAGCGCTAAAGTAAATAGTAACATGCTTACTAGGCGTTACTAACTAAGCTATCTATTACTAATTAATAAAAATTAACCCTAATAGTACCTTTACTAAGTTACTTAGTACCTTTATACTAAATTATTACTTATTAGCTACTTTTTAAGGTATTTTACTAGATATAGGCGTAGTAAGTTACTTAACTATAGGCTACTTATAAGCTATTACACTATAGTAAATTTAACTATTTATAACTATTAACACTATAGCTATAAGTAAAGTAAAGATTAGGTTTAGTAATAGTAATACTATTACTTTATAAGGCACTATTATAGTAAAGACTTCCTTTAGGTATATTACCTTTTATATAATACCTACTAATATACCTTTCTTACTTTACTTAGCTAATATAAATTAACTATTAATTTAATTTAATAACCTTATAAATACTCTTTAATAAAGTAAACTTATAGTGCTAGTTATATAAAAATAAGGCTACTTATAAATACTACTTAGCCTACCTAAGTAAAGCCTTATAAGTTATTACCTAACTAACGTTAAGCTATGCTGTCTTTATTAATAGTTTAGCTATCTATTAATTTACTAGCTATATAAGATCCTTTATAAGGCTAGCTATAAGGTTAAAATAAAAGTAATTAAACACTTAATAAAGTACTATTATTATTACTAGATTTATAAGAAGGCTCCTTTTTAATTCTAATTTACCTTATATAATAACTATTTATTTAATTATAAAGTTATTATTAATATTATATACCTTAATAGTAACCTTATACTTTATATTATTAATACTACTACTACCTTTAACGCAGCCTGCTTCCTTTATAACATTTTAGTAAAAACTATATAGGAGGCACTATATTACTACTAGATTAATATCTACTAAGGACCTCTAGATTAAATTATTACTAATATAAGGTAGAACTTTATCTTAACTAAATTTTTATATAAAGCCTATATAATAGGCGTTAAAGTTAAGATTATCTCTATTAAAGCGTATTATAGCGTTAGGAAGGTTAAGAGATACTACACTATACTCTAATAGGCGTATAAGATAATCTAAAAAGAATACCTATCTATTAACTATAAAGTAGCACTTTAAAGCGCTACTAAAGTAGTTAATAATACTACTAGCCTAAATAGCCTTATACCTACTTTATTAGTATTTAGCGCCTACCTTTATATAACTACTAACTTTACCCCTTTACCTAAGATAATCTAATATATAATAGCTATCTATAAGGTAACTAAAGATCTTTATAAATATAACATAACGTAGTAAATTAATAAGGCTCTTACTACTTATTATAGCCTAAATACCTTTATAATAAAGGATCTGCCTTTAAGTAGTAACGTCTATATCTAGTGTAAAAAAGGAGGTTAGTCTAGCCTATATAAGTTACTTACTACTTAAGGTAAAGACTTTACTATTAATATTAACAGCCCTTACGTTTTTTAATTTATATTAGTTAAGCTATACTATATAGTAAATAATAAAGAAAAAGGCTTAGCTAAGTAACGTCCTCTATTTATCTTAAATAATAATAGTAGTTATAGTAATAAGCTTACTAAAGATACTATTATTATTATAACTAGTTTAGGGTAGTAGCTACGTACTAATAATCTTACTATTATATAACCTTAATAAGCTAAGAAAATCCCTATAAGATACACTTTACTATAAGAGACTAACGTACCTTATACTACCTTCCTCTTAGTAAAGAAAAAAGCCTATTAAACCTTTATAATCTAACTATATAAAAAAGGTATTATTATAGCACTTAGTAAGCTATTTAAGTAATTAGTAGCTACTAAGATTAATAGCCTTATTATATAAGGCGTCTTTAAATTTACTATAATTAACTAACTTTAGCTATATAAGTAAATTTTTAAATTATAAATTATAAATAAGGTAAAAGGCACTAATAAGAAGCCTTATAAGAAATTACGCCTTATTATTTAAGGCTATACTAATAATAGTAAAGAGGCTATTCTTACTTAGTTACTTACTATCTAGTAAGCTAGCTAGCAGCTTATCCTTATACTAGCCTTTTCCTTTTTTATTAATAGTAAAGTTATATAGCTATATAACATTATATAGGCCTATATTTAATTTACTTCTTACCTTAACTATACTATTTATACTAAACTCCTAGCCTAAATCTATTATAAGTACCTTAATAATACTATTATAAAGGTTATTAAGCCTCTATATAAGATTACTAAGGTAGGTACGTACTAGTAGGCTACTTATAACTATTACTATAAGGAGAATCTCTAGATAGTCTTTACTATATATAACCCTTACTTTCTCTTATTATTTAGTAAAAATCTACACTTTATACTTATTAGTATATAAATAAATAATACTATTAGCCTAATAGACCTTTTATTTTCTAACTAAAAGAATAAGGAACTAACTAAAGTAAAATTTATTATAAAGAATAAGTTATTCCTTACTATTAACTAACTACTTACCTTTAATAGTAGGATTATTATAGTTATATCTACTATAGACACTTTTATTACGCTCTACTAGAAAAAGTAAGAAGTAAAACTATAATTAATTAATATAAAGTTACCTATAGCCTACTAAGATTTTATTTAGTAATAGGCATAAGGAGTATATATTACCTCTATTTACTAGCCTAAAGCATATTATAATCTTTCTATTACAGCCTAATATAAGGAGCTAGATAATAAGGTAATTAAAGACCTTAACTATTAACTATAATAGTAAATAAGCTTACTTAACTATAGTCTATAATTTATCCCTTTAGATTTTATATTAGCTAAGCTGTTTATATTTATAAATAGATTATTTACTAATAATTATAATATAACTTTATAGTTAGGATTTATTATCCTCCTTATAAATAAGGAAGTTAATAATAACTAAGCTAAATTTCTTTTTTATAGTAATATCTTTTATTTCTTATCTATAAAGTCTAAATAAGTTACCTAAAGCGTCCTTATATCTAAAGTATATAAGATAGTTATAGGTATTAATATAGCTTACGCCCTCTTTATAACTATTATAATAATTATAAAGAAGCTTAATATCTTATTAATCCTAACTATTATATATATAGACTTATATTTACTTTATAAATACCTAGTTAAGCTAAGAACTATAAAAAAGAAGTATCTTATAATTAATATTATATTACTAAGATAGTCTTATAAGTAATATAAGCTTTATAAAGTCTAATAAATTACTAGATCTAATAATCTAGCTAATAGATTTATAAAGGTATTCTTAAATTAAGCACTTAAAGGCCTAGTTATAAATAATAAAGCTAAGATATATATAGAGGGTTAGGTTATATAGGCATAATAAATTATAATAAGTATATAGTAAAAAATAAATTATAAGTTATATAACTAACTAGACTATAATAGTAGTAGTTAAATCTAACTAATATAAAAATACGCCTCTAATAGCTATAGCTAAAAAGAAATACCCTTAAATAAGTTAGTATAAGCCTATACTATCTATAAAGAAAAATAGAGGATATAGGAATATATAGTACGTAACTATAAGAAGTATAATACTTTTAAAGTTTTAATTTTTATTACGTTTTTAGGGCTTTTAAGGGTAATCTAGATAGCTAGGGCACTAGTAACTTTTACTATAAAAGAAAAGTTACTAGTATTAATATATAGTAGGTATGCTTTAGGGGAGGTAGTTATGTAATATTTATATAACACACTGCCTCCCTTAGTAGTATCTACCTTACTACTAGTATACTACCTAAAAGTCTAGATTTACTTTATAACTAACTAATATAATAAGTAACTATATTCTATATTATAATTTGTTACGTAATCTATAGGATATCCCTCTTACGTGATTTAACTAATAGAAACAAAAAAACGAATAATAGAGGTAAAAATGCACACTTGGCGGGCCTCTATCACATCACTTTTCCACCTTGGCGGCCGAGCTGTTAGCTGTCAGTTGCTAGCGAGCGTATCCATCGGGACTGGGGCTGAGAATCTGCCGGTTGCTGCAAGTAGGGAAAAACGGTGACAGCAACGCCCGGCCCAATGCGGGCTGTTACAAACGGGGACCTGCCTAGGTCAAAGGGAGAGAGGGGGACGAATCATGTTGCGTTGAGAAAGACTCTCGGAGCCGTATGCACTCAACATGCACTCCCAAAAGTCCTTCGTTGTCAACCTCATAGCCTGGGAGGGGAGAGGGGCGCGGCCTAGACCCCGTCTCAAGGGGCGGCGAGAGACGTCTTGGTTTGCATTTCTGTACAAACCCGGCCGTACCGGGTTTCATCAACTGACTTGCTGATGAAGCTGGTGCGGCTGCGACTGCAAGGTCGGGCGCAACTTGGAGGCGACCCGGCCAGCCGAGGAGACTGCGGAAGCCGATATTTTGCATCTTTCGCATCGAGTCTGACTCTCAGAGCCCACTTACTCTTACATGGGCAGGCAAACTGCCTGCTGTTTCCAATGGTTTTCCAATGATGGGCGACGAAACAAACAATATCACCTATCGATTCTCCCCTCTCCCCTCCTCCTTGTCCACCATCCAAAACGCGGTCAAACTCTAGTGTACCTAAAGTAAGCCAAGCATTGAGCGATTGAGTTCTCCTCGCCGCCCCCCCGGTGATGGCCGACTAGCCGGGCTATTTCCCCGGGAGAGCTGGTATGCAGAGGAGGCCTCGGATACAGAAGGTCAACGGTGTAAGATGGATGGTGACAAAATGCTACGTCCAAGATGCATACGCATCCATCATCCGCCCATCATCCATCCATCCATGCCCTCTCCTGGGGAATTCAAACTCTGTTTCGTCGTCAGAAACAAAGGCCTGACAGTGTATACATACCTAGTACACCGCATTCAGAGGCAGGCTCCACGTCTACACACATCCCTGGTGCCCGATTGCCGTTGCCGTCTCCTCACGAGGCAGAAGCATGGCACTACGCCGAAGGGACTCGGCCGATTCGTCCGCGCCAAAGGTCTCCCGTCAATGCCGGCGGCCCCCCCCCTTGCCATTACCTGCTATAGCTAACACACACATGGCACACACCTACCTACGAGGGCCGGTGGCCTGCTGCGGCATCTCGTAGGCCGTCGAGCATCCATCCCGAGCCCATACTGCCTCCCTATGAACCTTTCCTATCCCGGCGCCCGAGAGTGAGAGCAGCCTGCAAATAGTCTACGGTAGCTTCTCATAAGTCCGGCCCCCAACCATTCAGCACCCGCCGATCGTGGGTAAGGCCTCTCACGCGAAACCAACAACCCTTATTCGTCAAACCCATCTTCAGCTCCGTTGTCGTCATACCAACCTTGCACAAGGCAGTGTGCAGGCAGTCAGTTGCATCACGCATGGCAGGCTAGCTCGTTCTGGTGCTTGCTGTCTTTTAAACCTTTCCTTCCACAATGTCGTGGCTTCCCTGGCGTGGTAGTGGCTGGCTGGCTGGCTGGCTGGCTGGCCCTTTGCACATCTCGATCTCTGGCTGATGAATGTGTTTTTTTCTCGTCCGGTAAGGCCCATTTCCCTGTCAGAGGTGCGGGACGGACGGACATGCCATCCCAATGCATAATACACTTTCAGGCAAGAAATATCAAGACTAGAGCCAAACCCTCCCCCTCCCATCGTCATATCTAGCCACATGCCGAGGACAAACGGCTTCCCACGGACGACTAAAAGAGATGCTGCTGCTTTACCATGCTTTGCAACTCCCCCATCAGCCTGCCTATCTATGGTAGTGAACTCGCCAACCTAGAAAGAAAAATATATACCAACCTAGAAGACGCCAAATAAAGAACAAAGGCGTTCCCCTGACCGAAAACACATGGCTGTGTTAGCGTCCTCGTGAGCGAAAGAGACTAGCCAGCACATACACATCATCAGCATATCTACCTGCAGCCTCTCTCCCATGCTCCACACAACCTCCTAGGGAATCTGAATGTCCTCCCCCAAGCCTACCAAACCTATCCCCACACACATGCTTCCATGCCCAAAACCACTCAACGCCCGAGGCGACCCCCCTTCTTCTGCCTTTTGGCCGCCGTGATGCATGCGTAATAAGGTGACAACGGCGCAAGGAGTGCAACACGCTCTTTGCGTCCCTCCCTCCCTCTTTCTGGTTGTCACGCTACCCAGTTGGACCCAAACCTTGTTCCCGTGCCTTTCTTGATTTGCTTCCTTACACAGTACACTCCTTCCTGGTTTCCCCCTAGTCAAGTGCAGCATGACACCTCGCCTGCATCCAAGAAAACGGAACTGGGCACAGGCCCGAGTCTGACCAAGGCTCAACCTTCTGGTCCTTCTCTTGGGTGCGCCAACCAATGGTACAGATGATAGAGGACATGGAAGGGGGCGAGAAACACGCTCAAGCTCCACTTGGTATCAGTCCCCACTGAACCCAAATAAGTATACAACGGGAAAAGAAAAAGTAGAAAAAGAAAAGAAGAAAAGAAACGAAGGACCAAAGGTCCGCCCCCCCGCCAAGGGGACGATACACCGGAAAATATAACCCCACGCGGTATTACATGACACTCACAGCCTCGCAGTGAGTACCGGATAGTAACGTGGACCGGGGGGGGGCAACCAGCCCCTCCTCTTGACCTCATCCTTGAAATGCTCTTTTCGCCAGGGAAAATAAAATAAGCCCAACCCAACCATCTGTCGATTTCTCCACTCTAGAATCCAAAAGGAGGGAGATCTGCATTGTCTTTCTCCGTCTTCTTTTCCTTCTTTCGCTTACGTACTACGTACCACATCGCGGTAGGACCGACTCCAGGCCCGGGAAGAGCAGCATACGGGGGGGGGGGGGGGGGCGAGGAGGACGAGGACGACGAGGTGATGGTGGTGGTGGGAAGGCGGATGGTTGGACGGTCCCAAACCACGGCCACCACCCACCCATCCAAAGAAACCGAGGCACACCCCCAAAGAAAACAGGGCGAACGATGACCGTTTCCCACATCCGTCACGACCCAATCAACAGCCGCCTCCCTTTGGAGGTTGGGGGCGAGCTCTCCAGCAAGAGCCAACCTGACAGCCCTGACTTTTCTTAGATCCCCCCCTCCCTAGTCAGACTAGCACCATGTCAAATGTCTGATCTTGCTGGAACGTGCGCGCGTGTGCTCTTCTCGATCAATAATTCGTATGTTCCTTGGCCGTGCTGTGCTGTGCTGTGCTGTGCTGTGCCCCCACCCCGCTCCCGTTGCAGTTGGCATGTATCCTGCACACTCTCAGCCAGTTGCGGCTCACTCATCCACCTCTACTTGGCAACCCGCACCAAGAAAACCTGCGCGCTGCTTGCTCTTCGGAGCGGCGCAAGGGCGAGCCAAACAAGTCGAGTCGAGTCGAGCCCGGGCTCCGTCTCAGTCAGGTCCTTGTCGACAAGCCAGCCAGCTGTGGCACCAACCAATCTCTTTCGCACTCTTGTCCTTCCTGCAAAGTAGCTATCTCGGGTTTGGGACAGTAGACCGCCCATCACAGATCCGTCATCAGGAGAGAGGGAGACTGTAGTAATAACTACTCGTCTTGTGTAGATTATCTAACCCCCCCCCACCGGCATCTCGCCAGCTCCCTTCTCCTCCTCTTACTCGTACCCGCTCGTCCGTCCGTCCGTCTCTGTCCGTCACCGTCCTCCGTCATTCCAGCAGAGGAGAGAGCTATGGCCACAAGGCGCACGCATCCCAGCAAAGCGAACGTTCTTTCTGGAAAGTAAGGAAAAAGACGGAGAGAGGGGGGAGATGGACGGAAGAGGGAGAAGAAGAAAGCAGAAGTGAACCCTCGTCACAGCTACAGGCTTTTTTTCCCAGGGAAGAACGCGGGGGGCCGGTGTAGGGAACAACCCCATCCATCTCTCTCCCTTCCCTACGGGATTGTCAAGAGGGTTTTCCTCTCATACTTGGATGGGAAATCTTGAGACGTTCTGGAAAACGGCCCAACGTAGCATCGAAGGCGGGGGGGACCCGAGATTAAGACGGTAAGACAAAAAAGACAGAAAGGGTCGGTCTGATGCGAGCCAAACTTTCGGAAGGAAGCCTCACCTTGGCAGGTATTACGGCCATTTCGTGTCTGGCCGTGACTGACAAGGTTTAATCGCCGTAAATGTTGAGACGTCACATTGGATTACGGTTATTTGGAAATCTCAGTGCACATTTGAATTTTTGTTTGTTTTTCTTTGAATGTTTTGTATTCAAAAAAAAAAAAAAAAAAGGGTAGTGGAAGGACAGCTGTGTTCTTTAGCTATTTCCTACCAGACTCGAGTTGAACTTTCCACTCCCTCAAGAGTCTTCCTCGCGCGAATGACATCGTCGCGAAACATCGGGTTCTTGGCCCAGGTATTGTCTAAACATCTTCTCCCTCCTTCGTTCTCGATGAAAAAAACCAAGTCCCTTTGTTTCTGCTATTGCTCAACCACTTCGAGAATATCCACGTCTCGAATGCAATCCAAAGTGAGACGTGATATCGTCCAACAATCGACAGAAAAACTGTCAAATAGCCTTTCCTAGATGCTTGCGCACAGGAAGCATGCATTGTAGAATCGAATGCCACAAGTGTCCCTGAAAATAAACAAACTCCAGCCAACCCCCCGTCTCTGTATCCTGTTACGCCTTGTATGCATCGCTGGGCATCCCTTAGTACAGAGACAGTTTCCCCGTCGTCTTTCCAAACCCAACTCCACGCTGAGATAACAAAAAAATAATAAAACATGAGAAAGAAGAAAAAGAAAAAAAAAACCACTCCCTCTTTTGGGGGTACAGGTCTACAGAAAGTGAAAAGAAAATCCGGCCTTTTTTTTTTCTCCCTGAGCTTGTTGGTAGATCCTTTCCGATATGGGAGTCCAAGGGTAAAAATATGGTCCACATGACTCATAACGAAATTAGATATCCTCATGGATCCTATGGTCCATGGTTTAAACGTTGATACGATTGTGTTGTGTCGTGAGTTGATTCGCCGAAGCAGTCCAAATGAGCCATGTGATGATGGTTATCCTGGAAAAGGCTGGCGTAACGGATGTGTGGCAACTTAGTAGCAGCCTTGAGGGTGAGAGAAGAGTGGGACCTGGTGGTGGAAGGGAACATGAGGATGCATTGAAGGTGCATGCTGGGCATACTTCAACACGTCTCCCCACCAAAACTGGACAAATGATTTTGGCGGGCAGCTCGGTGCCTGCATCTGAACCTGAACTGGCATGTGCCCAGGTATGGGCATATGTGCGTGAAGGTGCTCTTGTCCAACCGCCGGCGACGGCACGGGTCCTGTGTATTGTTGAGGAACAAACTCCTGTGTGGGAAATGATGCCGTCCTGGGATCTTCCGGTTCGAACGTTTGGGCGTGGCATACCATAGCCTCGTGTTGTTCCTGGAGGAACTCCTCATCAAGGTCGTCGATGGTCGAGCCGCTCGAGGTGAGCGAGCCGTCGTCGGATGAGCAAGTGGAGCCGTCGTCAGAAGAAGACGACGCAGGCGAAAGGGCGTTGTCGTAGTCGTCGACAATCGTGTCCTCGCATGTAACGTATTCGGTCATGTGCTCGGGCGAAGCTGGGGGTGTTGGGAGCACAGCAGTAGGCATCGCCGGGATGGTAAAGCTCCTGCATGCCTGGATCCTGGCCTTCAACTCGGGCAAAGTAATCCTCTGGTCCGGGTTCCGGGTGAAAATCCTTCCCAAGATGTCGTTCAGTTCATCCGACACTGGGAGGATGCTCTTCAAGGTATCTGGGCAACGAGTGTAGGCCCGGTAGGTAGAGTCCTCGAACGAGGCTTGCTTCCATGGGTTGCGTCCACAGGTCAGGTTGACCAGGATCACTCCGAGGCTCCAGACATCATTGGGGGCGCAGAAGTAAAAAGGTCTCCTGGCATAGTGGTCCAAGCATTCTAAAGAGGGGGGAAAAGAAAAATGTCAGTTGTGTTCAAGGGGGAGAGAGGCTTGAAGGAGTAGGAAAGTTCCTGGGGGTGGTGTGCCTACCTGGACTCATGTAGAATGTAGAGCCGCATCCGTAGTCCTCAGACCGGTCGGACGATGTGGCGAGGCCAAAGTCGGCGAGCTTGACGGTCTCTCCGTGGTCCGAAACAAGGATGTTCTCCGGCTTCAAGTCCCGGTGGTAAATTCCGAGAGAGTGGCAGTGTTCAACGGCATCCAAGATTTGCAAGAAGACTCTCTTGGCAAGATCGTCGTTTCCGACATACTGACCACCTTCGGTGATGTTGAAAAACAAGTCACCTTCCGGGCAATATTCCAAGATGACATAGATGCAGTCCGGGTCGTCAACAATCTTGAGCATCGACACCACGTTAGGGTGGGCCGAGGCCAGATAGTGCAGACGGATCTCCCGGTTCTGGAAAGCAACTTGTCGACGATCCAATGGGGTTCCATCTGGGTTGAACTTGCTGAGGCACTTGACGGCATAACGGACTCCGGTCTTGACATCCACGGCGGAATACACAACACCATATGCGCCAGTCCCCAGGATGGTCGTCAACTGCAACTTGCCCTCGAGGAACCTTCCCAGTCTCGCCTCCGGCGTTAACGGGACATATCGAGCCTGGCAGTGGGGCGCTGTTGTGATGGGCTGCTGAAGGGAACACTTTGAGTTGTCGTACACCGGCGACGCGGGAGGAGTGGGATAGCCAAATCCTGATACATGCTGCATGTTTTTTGCGGGTCCAAATGGGAGTCCTTTCTCTGGCGGTCTTAGTTGGGTCTCGAAGGCGAGATCCAAACTGGAGAGAAGATGATAGGAAAGAGAGAGAGAGAGACAGAGAGAGAGAAAAGTAGAAACGGCCTTGTCCTTTGGGTTAGGAAATCCTGGAAATCCAAAAGTAAATCCTGGGCAAATGTCCTGTGGCCTAACGGGTCGAGTCCTTTGGGTCGAGTAGAGAGGTTGAGATGCGCAAGACGTCGAGTCAACGAGTCAAACACGTACTGGTCGCCTGGGATTGAGATAGGGCGTAGAGGTCGGTCAAGGTTGTTCGTTTGGATCGGAGGCTGAAGGGCAACTGAGGGATTCAGTGCTCCGAGGATCGTGAGGAGTTGTAAAGAGGTCGACGGGGAAGGAACGTAGTTGGAAGAGTTGGTGATTGAGTCTCGAAGTGAGTTCTGCCAACAGCACGACGTGGGATATGGGTGGTTGATAATGGCTGCCACCACCCCAATGAGGAACGAGGCGAAATGATGTTAGCGCTACGTCTACGTACCCTGGTCGAGGTGTGTGTTGCGTGGAGCATCCACCATGGACGGTGGCTCCTGGGACCCCCAGTCGTCTTCGACATTACCAGTACAGGGATGGGCGGCTTGCCAGGTCTTAGCCATGGGCCCACTAATGCACCATCCATTCTTGAGTTCGACGTGAGCGGCGGGCCAGTGGGTTAGAGTTGAGAGTGGCCTGAGGCCTGAGAGTCGGCGCCATGCTGAGATGGAGGGAGAGGGGCGTGTGAAGAAGAGGGAGGGGTGTGTGTGGACTGGCGGGGGGGTGGACGAGTGACCAGCAAAGATTCTCTGTTGGAGCCCCTCAGAGCAGCCATTAGGACGACAATAGTACCGCTGATTGGCGGCTCTGGCCAATATACGAGCAGATATTGTCTGACGCACCAGGTAAAGTGGCCTCGTCCCAGGGGGGGGGGGGGGGGTATGGATGGGGAGGGGAGTGTTGTGTAGCTGGGCGTGCGTGTTTGTGTGTGTGCGTGTGTGTGTGTGCCCGGTCTGTTGTGATGACTCTGATCCATCACCCCCAGCCGTGCTCCATCGACCCCTGTCACGGCTACTTGCTGGGTGTGTCAGACGAAACGGATGGCCGATGGGTGTCGAAGAAACGGGGCGTGCGTGAGTCGACGCCTCCTACACCCAGCCCACGCATGGGACGACCCTGACGGAGGGGACACAGTCTGTCTCCTGCTCTTTGCCCTTTAACATCAAGTGGAACTGGCTGCTGGCTGCTCGCCCTTGCGTGGTACCTCCATTTGAGTAAGCATCCATCATCGTCATACGGCGAGGCGACACGACACGCAGCACCCTGTGACTTGAGATGTGCAGTTTTCCTTCTTTCTTCCACTCGCCTTGGCTTTCGTCCACCGCAGGGCGAGTGTGCCCGTTTTTTTTTTTCTCCTTTATTCATTTTGGTCAGGTTGCCCGGGCGAAATGGCCTGAAGCTGACCAAAACAACCTAGAGAATGTTTGAACCAGGCATGGAAGTGCACTCCAAATATAATGGAATGAGACACAGTATCCTTCACCGCAACCCAGGATCCCACCGGGCGATGTGATGTGTGTGCTATGGCTTGTTGCCAGCCCTGTTGCTGATGGTCGGTGGCAGAACACTCTGCGACCACCGCCAAACAGTGCTGTGAGCGAAGGACTTCGGATGCTTATACGCAACAAGGGTTGATTGGTTCACTGCCATGGTCTCGTAGCAGGAGCGGATGCCTGTGTGGCGCTTGGCAGGCCGTTTGCATGAAGTCCGGGAGTAAACGAGTGTGGGCTTCGGTGGCCGGCTTGCCGTTCTGTTGCAGAAGCTGCCTCGCAGGCTGGTGACGGATCAATGCTCCGCGAGTTTTGCATGGCTCACTTGCTGCCCATCGCTTCCCGTTCGGGCCTCAGGGCGGCGCTGATTGGCACTGAAGCTGCCAAGCGAACGACCTCTAGGGCTGCTGGTCGCAGGCGCAGCAGCCCTTGTGGCTGCACCGCTCCTCCTCTCATCTGCAGTGTGCACCACTTATTGTCCTGCCTACCTACAATCATTGGCTGACACGGCTGCCCACAATCATCTAGCCTGTGCCGTATCTGGCTTGGGTGAATGGTTGCGTCGAGTGGCTAGAGAGTATGGACGTGGTAATGGCTGGCGGCGTCCACGGACCAATGAATGGTACTCCCAAACTGATGCAATACTACTAGTTGGTGCCGTGTAAAGTATTCCCAAAAGGTCACGTCCATGTGAATGGCTAGGGACGCTGCACGATTGTCTAGTTGATAATGCTGATATAATGTTTTTCACATTGACACCACATTCCTGGTTGCGCTAACACTTGTAAGTGTATCCGTATGGTGCAGGTTTCGCAACGCCGGTCACCAAGCCCGCCTACGCCTAGACTGTGTCTTGAGGACATAGTATGCGCAGTGTTTGCTGACGGCAGCTCCGCCAACGGGTAAAGGACCCGGCAAAAGAAGGTCCAACAAGACATCATGGGAATGTGGCCGGTCCAACTGGACCTGTCTCATCAAAACTTCAGTAGGAGCGCGGCAAATGATGAACAGCCTCTGACGGCCGCAAGCGAGACTTGTCTAAAGGATACCGTAGCCTCTTGCAACCGTACAGGGGGGGGGGGGGGGGGGGGGGGGGTAAACGGCGGCGGAGGCGGCTCGAGTTTTGCACTCGGGTAGACCAGCTGGGCCGGAGACGAGGCAGCGGCAGCTCCAGCAGCAAGCGGAGGAACAGGCCTGGATTCGGTGGCTGTGGAGTCGCAGGGGCGGGAGAAGGAACAAGATTCGGATTGCCTTTGGAAGGGGGCATTCTCTTCGATCTCCAGTGACGGCGGCCAACGTGGTCATGGGTCGCACATGGGCCTAAGATTAAGAACGACCGTTTGAATGGACGGACCGGGATTATGTTCCATGATCAGAAAAAGAGCGGGTCAGTATCGTGAGAAGCATGTCTCTTCTTTTGTGCAAGAAGCTCCAGGCGGCTTGATGGGGGAGGTCCGCCGCAACGCTGCGTTGGATGTGCATCGTTGGTGCATGCGTCCTGCAGAAAGGCTGCACGTCTGTGTGGCTCGGAGCGGTAAACGGGCGGAACGGGGAGGGTCTGTTCGAGGTCTGGTTTGCCATCGGGGCGACGCATGTCAACGCAGTATTGCCTGAGGCCACTGTCGTGTGTCGTTGCGGTGCAGTGATCAGGTCGATAATGAGGGAGCGGTCCAACTGGACGAGAAGAGAAGATGGTGTCGTGTTCGGCGTCTGGTGAGCCAAAAAAAAATGTGCTAGACTGACTGCACTGTACTGCCTGTTGCGTCGGGCCAGCCAAAGATGTGAGATGCTGGGCTGCAGGCGACTGAGAGAAGCCGCCGCCTCGTACTTCGTGACGGCCAACGGGGCATGGGAACAGGGGTCCCCGGACACAAATTCCCGAGGAGTGAGGCTGTCGACGACGGGGCTGTGATGGATTATGATGTGGAAGGCCCGTATAATGGTCTGCAAATGCTGATCCCACCGACCCAATAGGCAAATTTGAGCGTCCTATTGAAGCATGGCGCCCATGGTTCACGATGCAGTGTAGCATCCAGTTGCATGTTCTTGACATACCGCCAGTGGCCACTCGTCAGGAAACATCGACCTATTCGTAGTCAAGGAGGGAGAATGTTCACAAGATATGCAGTAGAAGGAGGGAATGGAGAGACACCATACCGCCCCTTCGCCCCGGTTCCCATCATCTCCTGGGTCTCGGCGGTCCTCGTTATGGCGTTGGTGGCCGTGGCGGAACCGTGGCCCACCAGATTGTAGTACCTAGTGTATTCGTAGGGCGCCCTGATGCTGGCACTTGGCTGGTCAGATCATCATAGTAGATGAGTTGACGGGTGGGTCAGTGGAAGCAATAAAATCGGCTCCGCACCGTGGGAAGGGGGACATTTCCAATGTGTTCTTCGGCACGCGATTGCATGTGGAGGATGTGTGCCATGACATCCAGTCTAGGCCCAAGTCCATGGCGTTCCGCCTGCTGCTGCTCCTGTTGGTGCTGCTCCTGTTGGTGCTGCTCCTGTTGGTGCTGCCGCTGGTGTTGGTGCTAGGCGCCTTGATGCATCTGGTGTCAGGAGTTGGTCTGTGCCGCAGCAATGCGTTGATGCAAAGCCAGCCGGGTTGGATCTGTTATTCACCCGGCCGTGATATTCGGGGGGGAACCCATCTGCTCCAAGGTTGCGTTGCATACTTGGGGGCGCGCCGCGTTTCGACCGGAGCGGAGCAAAGCAGAGCAGAACAGAGAATTCCCACTATAACAGATGGAAGTGGGAATGTAGCAGGGCACCTCCCCACGATCGAGTGAGGTTGGCGCTCGGGGTGTCGAATGGCGAGACACAAGCAGCGGTTCAAAGGATGCAACAACGACGAAGGATGATGGGAAGGGAATGAGAGGATGGGAGAGAAGGTTGATTGGCAGGTAGAGTCCGTGCTGCGCCCGCCTAGCTTCTTTCCTTCCTTCATTCCTTCCTTCCTTCCTCGTTCCCGCCGTCTCCTTCTGGAGCCAATTGCGGGACGAGGTGGAAGTGGCTGCACCTGCCAGCCACCTGCCCGCCTTCCTTTCCCAATCCGCCGGTCTACCCTACCACCTGCCAGTCCAGTTTGCAGTTCCTTCCACTCCTATCCGTACTCCTCCTGCTGTTCCATTCCATGTGGCTGGCTGCCTGAGGTCTCAACTTTCCTCTTCCGCTATCTAGCCTCAGGTTTCAATACAATGCCGTCCACCCCAGGAAAAGAAACAAGCGGTCTGCGCATGGAACTGCATCGACGTACTGTAGTACCGTACGGACCACACTTGCCTTTTTAGGACTAGCGTATCTGCCAGATCTCATCGTCCAACTCTTCCGTCCATGCCGTCCCTGCAAATCTTGAAATGTTCACGCGCTTCCAACGCCTTTTGGCGGTCCAGTCTCACTCTCCCGAGTCTCG